TTATACCTACTGATATCCTTCGCTTATTTTTGAGTTTCCTTAGAAAAATTAGTAATACTATATTAAAAACTTTATAGCTCGAGTTTCTCACTTTTTACAACGACTTTTATCACAAAAATGTAATGCCTAAATATAATTATTCTTGGACAAAGTTTAATAATGACGAGTATTCCTCCAAATTTTCAGTAATTCTGACATTAATAACTTTGGAGTACATGGAGCAGGGTTCTTTATTGATAGACATCTGTTAGAAGCTGTTCTGCTTTTATATTAAAAGGTTGGGAGCAATTATATACCAATAATGACATTAAACAACCAGCTCTTTATCCGATTGTGCCAATTATGTTAATAGGATGAAGAACCAGATATAAGACACTTTGTCTTAAATTAATTTTTTTAAATATTTATCACTTTGAATTTATCCGTGATACCATTTTAATAAATCCTTTATTGCTTATTGCTCTTAAGGACTCATAAAAATTCAAAATGGAGTTGAAATTATTGCAATTTTAGTAAATATTACATGCCGAAAAGGTAAAGTAATGACCAGAAAACCTATCCTTAGCCTATTGATGCTACAGGAAGTTGATGTTCATTTGCCTAAGTGGATAAGAGGAGGAAGTCTAATATCTTGATGTAGTCTACACTCTCGATTTGTCCACCTAGTCCTGACCACCACTTCCAAATGAACTCGAAATCAGAACATGTGGCTCTTAACGCAAACACATCAGTACAGGGCCCACCGGCCTACAGCCGTATACGCCCTATGGGAAAAGTATTCGGCTCAGGAGTAGCATATTCTAGACTCGACTACTGTCGGAAATGCTGAACCAAGCTTAATAGATCGAGGTAGCAGTCCATCGAAGAAGAGCAAATACGTCTATGGTGTACTGTCTAATTGGATAGACTGATAAAATTAAGAATTTTCATTTCATTTTGGAAAGGGCGGGCATGTATTTCTGAGGCACAGTGACTGAGCCCTCATAATTCCTTTAAAAAAGGTTCCCCAAAACTAATGGATATTCTTATTTTTAGGTCGAATATATTCATAAAAAATTAAGAATTTGAGAAAGGGACCCACCATGCTCTGGAAGATATATTGTCCATCTACATTACGTTCCGGCACTTCCAACGTAAGACAGGAGCTTTGTAGCCCGGTACAAGTCAGCACAAAGCCAGTATTGTGTTTAATTTTTTGCAAAGCGACTACAATATGTTCCTATGAGCCTTTCTTGCCATTTTGGTCCGTACAAAAAATCCCGCATTGGAAACCATTAGTTGACTCAATTGGAGAGCAGAATAAGTGCTTTAAGTGAGAGACTAAAATAGACCAAGCTTATCGTGGAAAATATGGATATGCTCATACTACTGTTTCGTTTGCAAATAGTAGACTCTAAATTGAAATAATTATAGGCACATAAATAAAGGGAAAAGAAAGATAAATTAGCTCAGATAAAACACCAGGACTGAGAAGGATTCGTGGTTTTTGTAAAAGAATAAATCCTAATCTTTCATTAATGAAGAATACCGGGAAGAATCGTGGGTAGGCAAAATTAATGTGGGCTAGTTCTAGCTCGGGGTGCAGACAATTTTTAATCTTGTTGGATTTGGGCTCAAGTCAGACAAAGTTAGGCTTTTGCGATAATTATACTCATTACCATAAACTCAAAAACTGCAGAGATATGTTAGCCGAACATTAGGCCCGGGAATCCAAAGATTGGGATCATTTGCTGCAACCATTACTTATATTCGTATAAAGTAGGCTTGGTAACTATCAGTAAATCTTGGATAAGATTTCTAGTCACACTAGATAGAATAAAGTGATAAGAAAGCATTTGGCAGACAGAGCTAGGTGAAATTTAATGGATCATGGGGCAAATGATTCTGGACAAATACCCTAAATGAACGTAAGTGGCATAGCGTGAATGACCTCTTAATCAACAATTACTGACATTTTCGAAACAACCTCCTGATATCTTTGCCCAACCGAAGAATAATGGTTCTTAACCAAATAATCGACGTTTATATCAAATCGAAGATATGAAGTTCAAGATTATGTAGCCTTTATCATGGTTACGGTCTCCTTTCTCTATATTGGAATGGTTTAACCTAGTTTTCTTAACTTAGTCATATTTTCAGAAGGACATAGACGAAAGTAAGTTGTTCCGAGTCATCTGCCATTGTATTCATTATAATTTCAAGCTTCAGTCCATGTACTTGGTACATTTCCAGACGTTTTTCCATTCTTAGCACCAAATTAAAACTTGGCAAAGAGGCGAATGAAACCTATTATCTGACCAACTTTTGGCTGAACAGTTATGAATCTCCCTTGTATTGGTACATTCAACTATCCCCTTTCCTGTATAACAATTTCCAGCTTGCGTATTTATGCCTAGTCAAAACTATCACTTTGAGCAGATTTAGTGAGGCCTATTGCACCTCACTGCTGGTTCTCTTATTCTCACCATTGTGGTAACAATGATGATACAATTTGGCTCTTTTAATCGCAATCTACTTCAACCCTTTCTTAGCTTCCCGGTTCAGTGATTGCTCTCGACTAATACCACCATATCTGTACCACGCGAGTTGTTATCTCCCATCCTCTGCGTTAGGCGTTTGTTAGAAAGTCTACCAAAAAGGTCCACAAAACTTTGATTATCAGGCTGGATGAAACACTAATTTAACACTGTATTTTCCATTATTTGCATTTAGACTGAGTATCGAGTAAATCTCGTGGCCAAGCCTTTATTTCAGGGACCATAAGTAGTTTAATCCTAAAAGTGGTAAGACGCACTGTCGATGCTGACTATGATGTCGGTGAAACGTCAAGATATGTGTCAAGTCCCAGGTCCGACGCTGGAAAGTATCAATGCTACTATGACAGATGACTCCGGACAGGATGATTTCATCTTGGTCGCTCTGTTAATACGACCAGGTTACGAAAATGAGGACAAAACAGATTGTTTTATCAAAACCAAATCCTTTACTAAAGATTTGGGTTTGGGTCTACCTATTGCTTCATAGCCTAATGATTCTGAATAGAAATTAGAGTTTTTACTCATTTAGCCTAGAGGATATTTGTTTCTTTTTATGTCCTCACAATCACGATTCGAGCCCCAATGGGAAGGCAGAAAATAGAGTAAGGTGAATTCTCGACTAAGAGCTGTATTCACCCTAATTAATTTAAGATGATGAAAGACTGGAAACTGAATTTTACCCCCCGCATATGAGTATGCCTCAAGTTTCAATTAGATTTCACATAACCTTTGCTTTTCAAAAGGTCTTCCCAACCAGGCAGGAATGGACTACAGTTTCGCATAAACTGGCCTCATCAGCACCTCCAGCGGGATTCGAATCCGGATTGTGGTAGTGCAGTGTACAACCTAGACATCTTAACCACTACGCCACACAGCCACTAGTGCTCTTTGATCAAAGCAAAAAAGTAAACTTCAAGGAATCTTTCGTTTATAAGTAGGCTTTCGAGACTCATAGTAGATCATATATATGAGATGTATTCCTCTAATTTCGTTTAAGGTGATAAGGGGACTTTAATCATATGAGTAGACCTTACTTTTCCATTGAATTTCACATAGCCTTACTCTCCAAAAGGCATTCTCATCCAGAGTGGACTGCGGTCTCGAACTCGCCTAGGCCTTATCAACACCCCCGGTGGGACTCGAACCATTGCTGCGCATGAGCTCGACAAGTCATACACTAGGCCACATTGCCAAGAGTGCCTTGGGGTCACAGGTCAGATGTGAATTTCAAGGAAGGTCAGGCATTTTACCATATCGCATTCTGTGGTGGGATTGTCGATGAAGGAACGTTGTATTTGCTATAGCAATCGACTGTATTACTTACATTTCGATTATAAGTAGGCCTTCGAGAATATCAGTTGATCATATATATGAGGTGTATTCACCCTATTTCATTTAATAAAATAAGCGGATTGGTAGTTTAGTTTTCGACCTAGGCAAGGTCGAAACTGCAGGCCATTCCTGCTTGGATGAGAATGCCTTTTGGGAAAACAAGGCTATGTGAAATACAATCAAAACGTAAGGTCTACTCATATGATTGTGGGATAATTCAATCATCACTCCTTCATCACTTTAAACGAAATAGGGTAAATACATCTCTTATATGATATCTAGTTGTAGTTGTACCAGTAGTAGTCTCGAAAACCAACTTATAATATGAAAATAAGTAAAGCAATCGATTGCTTTAGTAAACACAACTTTGCTTCGTTGACAATCCAACAATAAAAGTGTGATATGGAGCAAGTTTAGGATTCCTTAAAATCAATTTTTCTCTGCAATCCGAGGGCCTTAAGACCTCCCTTTATGCTTCGAGGGTAAAATTGCTTCCAACTCCCAAACTTTACAGGATAATCGTGCAAATTGATGGCAAAATTACTCTACGCAATACTATAAATAAAAGCATTAAACCTACAATGTTTCACACATTTATGCTTATTTCCTTATTGCCAAATGGGTCAACGACATTCAATTTCTGTCGAGTGGACTGTTATGGTATTTGTTGTCTTTTGCCGACTCTTCTGGTCAGTTGGCTGATCATCTGTTCACCCTGACGCGTGAGATTGTTCGTGAACTGTTCAACAATCCTGTCGCCATCAACTCGATCATCCAGCATCAGAAGCAGTGGGGCATTCATCCGAGCATGGGAAGCCGGCATCTGGTTGGTCTGGTCATCCAATTGCGCGGTCTGACACGTGATGAACTCATGACGACACCCAAAGCTCGAGCCCGCCGAGAAGAGTACCTGGCCAAGGTAGCACGTAGAGACTCCGAACAAAAGAAGATTATGCTTGAGTTGGTTGACAAACTGAACGCACTATCTAAGAGACAAAAGGAATTGGTACGTTTTAACCAATTAATTTTAACCAACAAAAGCAATAATCTTAATGGTTTATTGAGTTGGTTCGACTTTGTTTTCGCAACTTGGTCGGAACTAAAGCAGGACCCTGTGAAACGTAGCTAGTCCTGTGTCATCTGCCAGAATATTCATGATGATTTCCTCATCGGATCGTTAACTGGGTACATTCCCAGACGCCTCGTCGGCCTCATCGATGAGAGGAGCTATATTTAGCACAGACTTACAACTTATCAATGCCAATTGAAGGCAACCCCTTTGACCAATTATCTGTCCAGCTGTTGTTGCATCATTCGTCCCTTTGTCCTATCTTCCAGTGCAGCATCCCTTACTCCCAACCCTACTTCATATATCCCATTTACCCATTCACATAGCTCGATAGTCTCGGTTTCTGGTGTGGGCAGATACCTGGGCCATATGAAGCGTGGTCGAGAGAAAGGGATACACTACTGGGGGATAGGAGACAAGGGACGCGGGATGCCACAACGGTTGGACAGAAAATTGGCTTTTACTTGTCACTTTGATAAATTGTAGCACTGTGCTAAAGATGTCAACTCTCACTAACGATGCCTGTGAAAGGTCTGGCGACATACCAAGTCTACGGCCCGATTCTAGAAATCATGAATACTATGGCATAGGATGAAGGGACTAGGTCCGTTCCACAAGGTCTTCCTGTCGTTCCGAGCAAGTGACAAAAACGAGGTCAAACCAGCACAATACAGCTAAAGGAAGGGATTCTTAAGTTGGCCTCACCGGTACTTGAAGGCGGATTGCCTTGGAGCTGTGATTGTAAATTTGTGAGAATAGGTCCTCGGCGCACCACCCTGCGACCCCAATGAATCCTTGCTGAGTTTTCCATCATCATATGATGGACACCATACCAAAACACGAAGATAAGCATGGCTTTAAATCTACCTATTTCTTATTGTCCAAGTTGGTCCACTTACTTAAGCATCTCAGGAATTGATAGGCGGCTGCGGATGACATGTGAAGTGGC